GAGTCACAGCAGAGGGGATGTTTTTGTGAGCTTTTGTTAGTGAAGTTTGCCATTCCTGGTGAAGGACGTGTGGTGCCCTGAAATGATTGCTTTGTGTCTCAGTTAACTTGCAATCAGTACTTGCCACTCCAAAACAGACAAAACTGTAAAATATTGCCTGGACTGATTGGACTTGAGGAAAGGAATATATTTGTTATAACGCACATGAATACTTCCCCTCTATCAGCAGCTCCTTAAAACAGCACTCAAGGGTGCAGGCAAATGAAGGTGCTGCTCGTGGCTGTAGCCCAGGTGAAGGAGAGCTTTTGCTCTCATAGTGGGCTACTTGCTTTACAAAATATGAGCGTTCCCCCTCTGGCAGCCCAGCTGTGTACAGAGCAGTGCTGGCTTTCTGTACTGTCAGTGAGAGGTACAGCTGAGCAGGAAAATATTGCTCTGAGTGGCTTCTTCATAGACTGCTCTTTGCCAACCTGGATTGTGCTTTAATATTTTAATTTTTCCCATTACTTTGTCAAGCCTGCAGGAAATTCACCATTTCCATTATTTCCACAAGTTTCATTTGCACTTACTGTCTTTGAAGCCATAGGATGAAATCAAAGCTACTCCTTTTGACCATCCAAATTACAAATACACTGACTGTGATGCATCATTTTACAATTGCTTATTAAAATTTAACCAGATTTCCAAATATTTTTCATAATTCCCTAAAACAGTCTACGGATATCTGTTAAAGTAACGAATTTCCCTAAAGACAGCACTGGTTGGGATTGCTTCAGCTGCAAATTAGGGTTGTCAGTCAAAGTGCTTTTTCTGTTTTAGTCTCTGATCTAGGAGTTTTTAGCATCTCTCCCAAAGCGAGCCAAAGAAAGACAGACAGGGAGCTGCTAGGGCTTGTTTTGCCATGTGTTTAACCTAGCAAGCAATCAGTCGGTACCTTTTGCAAAGTCTTCTGTGTTTTACTGGATACCTCACTGCTTAGTGAGGAAGCGAGCTATACAGTTTTGACATCTTTTTGTACTTTTCCTATTCTTTGTTCTACAGTATATCCGGCGTTTTAATACGTTCAACAGCTGTGGCAACTTCTTTTTTGTGTCTACAAATACTTGCGTTATTGTTAAGCCATTGGGTCTGCTAATGAGAGGCTGGAGGCAGAGTGGTGTACTGGCTGGGTAGGATTTCCTGCAGAGGTGAATGGGAGTTGCATGGTGGAAACAAACAGGAAAACAGAGAAAAAGTGCATCCTATTCCCATCGATGTTTCTGCCTCAGTTTCTTCAGTCAAATGATCAAAAGATCCACTGGAAAGAAACAATAATGTAAAATATTGTCGGGAAGGAGGTGACCACTGATTTAATTTGCGAAGTTGTGCAGGAAATTAAATCAAAGTTCAGTGCAGTGCAATGGGATGGCTAAGGTGGACGTGAACTGGGACTCTGCAAACACAGCACAGTTAAGAGAGGATTGTTGTAAAGAGGTTAAAGTTGTAACAGCCGCATCTGGGCATAAAGAGCAAGGCGATGGCAGGAGGTGGGCTGGGAGCAGCAGCTGCTCTTGAGGAGAGAGGTGCAGGGATACCTTGTGATTGTGATGGGAGGAAGAAGAACCACTGATAAAGAGATTTCTCAGAACATCAGATAGCATGCAGGCAATGCAATGTGTTGGGTTATTGTGTGATCAGCGATATCAGATGTATTTTATCTCAACTGTACTTTTCTGAAGAATTGGGTTGAACCTTTTGGGAAGAAACAGGTAGACAAAGAGAAAAAGATTATTTTCCATACTTTTCTGAACCCAAAAGAATACTTAATCCAGTTTTCCATTCACTTCCATTTTCTTAGCGTCAGTCCCAAGAATAAAATATATTTATTTCTTTAGTGTTATTTATCTGAAAAGATTCAGAAAGATTGTTGCGTATTATATTTCAGAAATGCAGTGTGTCTCATACTTCCAGTGTTATAACTAGAGTGAGACGGGCTTATTTGTTGTGTGCTGATATTCTAACTCTAGGTCTATCAAGTGTTATGACAGTTTATGAGACTGTTACTTCACTACATAATTATTTTTATTGTGGTTATGAAGCCATATTGATCTAGATTTCCACTTGCTCATGTGCATCAGAATACTTAATTCTGTGTCATGATAACATGAAAGTGTGAGAGAAGTGAAAGCTTTTGTCTTTTCAGTTATAATTTAAAGCTCTTTTAAGAATTTTTAATACTTTAATATTTTTTTTTCCTGATTGAAGGAAGCTGGCATCATCACCAAGCTTGCAACAGAGGAAACATTTTTTTAAGTGTTCGGTGTGTAAAAGACATCAGTGTTGTTACTTCTGTGAACGGAAGATGACGGACAGAAAATCTGCAGAATTTTTAGCAATTGGGAGTATTTTTTTCGGTCCTTTTTCATTTCTTAATGGAAGAAGAATTATGGAAATGAGAGCAGGCATTGCATTAAGTGCTTGAAATGTTCCTTCCCTGCAGACCAATAAAAACATAACTCTTCCATTAGGGAAATTTAGATTTTTTTGAAGGCTGCATGAATCTGAGCTCTAAATCAGTGAATGAGATGACTATGCTAGAGTAAGCATTTCAAGGTCTGATTATGTATTTAAAGTCTTCTGTAGGTGGATACCAGCTCCTAGCTTGTCTTGTAGGGCTTCCTTGGAGCAAATTTTTGTGTGACTCTCTTTATGTTAACCACTTGGCTTATCTTGTAGTGCTTCTGCAGTGCAATCTCCTCTTATGCAGCTCAGTAACAGTTTCAAAGCCATGGGGATTGAATGAATTTTCCTACCAGAATCTGGACTAGAAGCTTTCCAGGCCTTTTTAAAACACTCTGGCTACTTGCGATAACTCCATAAACAGAAGTCAAATAGTGGAAGTCAAAAATGTGACCTTTCTGTGCTTGATATGGAGTGTTTACAGTGTTTATAGTCTCATCTGTGACTACAGACTATGCAGGTTGTAGCGATCTGTAAGTGTGAAATGAAAATGCAGCAGTAAGCTGCAATCACTTTGGGTGCTCAAATTGGGTCTCTGATCAGGGCTGCGGAGAATTAATACCAGAGCAAGTGGGTATTCAAGTGAAGCCATCTTTTTTTTCTGTGCTATTAGCCATAAAATAGTAATCAACATTAATTTCTAGGTTCTAGAAAAGCACAAATAAAAATGAATTAAAAAGAGCAAAATCATTACCAGTCATTGCCACTGCTCCTTACTTCTAACTTATTAGTGGTATTTAGTTTCAGATGCTATATTACTTAAACTGTCAAACACATCACAGAGGTCTATGAGGATGATTTGTCCTCATTCAGTGTATGAGGAGACAGAGACACCAAAAACTTCTGAAACTCGTCCAAGGTCTGGAAATGATTAAGTGGAATTCTTTCTTTTTACTATTTGTATTTAGTTGTAAATAGGCTGGATGTAACCATAATGATCTAATTATGATTCATCAAACAAATCTCATTTCCCCCTTTTTGCTGAAGGGCTGATCCCATGGGTGCATGCAGAACAAATGGTTACAGCACCAAATGTATTTATTGCGAATATTTGTTTACATGCGGGGGTGGTTTTGTTTCAGTTTTTTGAGGTTTGTTCTCTGCAGACACCACTGGGAATTGTTTGCCCATCACTAGAAGTGTTCCTTGAAGCTCCAGTCCATCACAGCACTCCCAAGAGTGCATTCCTGTGCTCCTGTTATGTTTTGTATGCAGACAACCTAGTCCTTCTGCTGTGGTCCAGAAAAATGGCATCAATGCAAATATTAGTTATGTTCCTTATAAATTCAAGAGGCGAGGAGAATGTGCCTGACCTACACAATCCTCCATCCCCATCCTGATTATTCATTCCTAATGGAAAGATTTTTAAACACTGAAAAGAGACTTTGGTGTGGGAAGCACATGGACATAAATAGAATTTTCAACTCCTTGCTGATTTTCTTGCTATTTTATGTCCTCTACCAATTGTATGGCTTAGTCAGTTGATGAATTTAATTAGCTGCCTGCTTTAGACATTATGAAGAGATACAGGCACTGAATTTCAGCCTCACACGTTAGATTTTTGGCTGATTTAGGTTGCGGTCACCCTGTGCTAGAGCCTTAGGTGGCTAATAGCCCAGGAGAAACCAACTGTGTGGACTGGGGCTGCCTGTAGAAAACACGAGTTCCCAGGGATCTGGGATGCGTCTGCACACAGAAGGAGCCAGATGGTTTTCTCTGTGGGTTTTCTTTGGCTTTGCTCTGCAGGAGAAATACCTGAGATGGATGCTGCCAGGAAGCTGTGGGGCTCCTGTGTGTTAACAGCTGCTCTAGCTCTTCTCTCAGAGGTGTATTCAAAGCATAAAAATGAAAAATGGGCAGAAATCTGTGTAGTCCAATGGGGAGTGGGGAAGACTTCATGTCTTATGTATCTCCAGACCTGATGGGATGGATCTGGTCCCAAGCTGGCATCCCAGTCTGAAATGGTGGTACGTGCTAGATGGTTCATAAATGCTTTGAGATCAAAGGCACTTTTTACATGTTAATAAGGTTTTCTCATTTGCAGCCCTTGGGCACGGCTCACTCACATGGTTGTGTGGTAGGCAGACACACTCACCCATTTGAGTCCTCTGAAGCTGTGTGCGATATTGCAGATTTCACTCTGAAGTGCACTGCTGCAATCAAGCAGCCTCCCAAAACACCATCAACTTTGGGAAGCTTAGGTCAGGTCCCGTACCACCTGCACATTTTAAAATAACAGGTTGGTTAGCTTCTACTGGCAATAAAGCTGACCATCCCTAGAAGAAGGTTAGTCTCTGGGACATTATCTGCGCCAGAGGTGTAGACTATGGTTTCATCCTTGAGAATAAAAAGTAATGCAGGGTTGCCTGCACCCTGCATGCCCAACCTTGGGGTTGTTAACAGCAGCCCAGCAGTGTTGGGCAAAGCTCTGGGTGTCTCACACAGGTTGGTCCTGGGCATCTGCCCCATCTGATGCACTTGCTCTCGTGGTCTCGTTCCAGGGCAACCCACTGTACTTCCAGTCTGCCAGAAATGTGACAGTGAACATCCTCAATGAGAAGACTAAAGTCCTTACCCGCCTTGTAACAGGTAAGGAGGGGGAAAGGCTGCGTGGGAGATTTAAGGATGAAAGTGGTGTGTTGTGGGGTGCTGCGTTGGCTTTAGCACACAGGAGGGGAGCCCAGGTGTCTTGTGAACTACAAATGAAAACTTCACTACACTTTGTAGAAACAAAGCGAGGGACATGAAAGCCGTGCTGGGGAGGCAGCTGGTTGGTGCTTTCTGATAGCGAAGCCCTTTCATTTGAAAGCCAAACCGGAGACAGAAAGGTTAGTTGTACGACTTCAGGGTCAAGAAGAACATATGCAGGCTACATTTCTGCTGTAACAGGCACAGGTTTTTCCTGAGAACCTTTTAACTTTTCTGAGATCTTGGGATTTCTGCTGATTAACTGTGGCTGGGTTAGGACACTTGGCAATTTAGAGCTCTCTGTGCCCTTCTGCTGATGAAGAATGCTCTCGTGTTTCCAAGCATGAGCGTATTTGGAGGGGAGATGTGTGTTTCATAAATCCCCAGTGCACAGCAGCCTTTGAATGAATGCATGTATAATTTGGGTAGAAAGAGCCTAATGTACTATCTATGCTAATATAATATATATCTGTATATGATATAGGATAGATATTTATTTACTGAGATTTATCTGGGGACCGGGAGAAGTATTGCTGTGTGACAGAGCCAGTAATCCATAAACATGTTGTTCCTACGTGAGACTGGATTGTTTGGTTTGCTTATATAACATCTTGGCCTCTAGTCACAGTATTAAATAATTAAATATGCAGCTTCAGTAAGCAATGATTTAAGCAGCATGCATGAAAATTGCCTGGAGTAAGGAAATAAATTCAACCCCAAGCTCCCTGATTCTCGCATTCAGAGTGAACGTGTTTAGTTTGTTGGTTCTCCATATATTTTCAAGAGGGTATTTGGATAACATAAGCACCTCCATTTCATAAGAGCTTGGGAGGATGCAGTTGGTGACATCTCCTGGTGTGATGTCCTGGTTATTGAGCTCATTTCTGCATTCAGCAGCAGTTTTGGTTTCAGAGTGGAGCGAAGATGAGGTCTCATGTAGTGTGTGCTACAGTGATGGGTAGGGAGGAGGTTAGTTAGCAAGATTCAAATTAAACTTAAAGCTTAAAAGTACTGGATTTTCTCAGAATGAGTGAAGGATTTTCAAGTGTTCCCAGGGATCTTGGCATCACTTTTCTCTAGTCTGAACCATGCAGGTGATTCTTTGTGTGCCCTGATGCCAATATGGATCACCTGTGCTGGCAAATTCTGGGTATAGATGGAGTTAGAAACTGCCTGTAAGAAAACACTGGCTCTCGGCTCTTCTTTCTCTTGTCCTGCGAGAATGAGACTGATGAGGAAGGTGGCCAGAAGTAACGCTAAGTCCCATCACCTGCCTCTTGCAGGAGCATATTCCAGGGAGGCTCTGGCTTGGCCTGGGTTGTGCAGGGCTGTGAGGTGGTGATTTGTCTGAGCTTTAGCCTAGCTCTTGTAACTGAAGGGTCTGCTCTTTCCAGCATTTGAGCCACAGACCTGCACAGAATTGCTGTTCAGGCAGCTGATGTTTATCAGGCTCCACAACAAAACGCATTGCCAGAGGCTTTCCAGCGCTGCCCTGCACAGCAGCCTGCAGGAGAAGCAGCAGAATTGAAATAAGGGCTACGAAGAAGTTTCACTCATCTAAAAACTCTCTGAAACAAGGGAGACTGGCATTCGTCTTGGCCTGCACATGGTTGAAATGGTCTAAAAGAAAACATTTGCTCCTGTGGTGATGTTTGTCTGCCTTCTTTTTTATTTTTTTTCAAATTGGACTGAGTATGACACTGGTATCATTTTAATCTAGGTTTATTAAACAGGCAAAAACCAGGAATCTTTTAAACTGCTGCATCAATCCAAGTAAAATGTACTCGGGATCTTTTGATGCCACTTATAGCTGCACCAATACTCTCAGAGCACGGCTGGGTATAGGCATTGCTGTTTCATGCGTGGGTCTGTCTTTTTGTAAAAGTTGCCCAGCTATCCCAGGTTCAATGGTCATTTTATGCCGCACAGACGCATTAACAAAAACATAGGTAGAAATAGTTGAGGGGTTGTTATCTGGGTAGAAAACAGTGCCCTTTCTAATGAGAGGTCCCCCTCTGAACAGCACAGACCTTCCAGTTTGATGTGTCAGACGCAGGTCGTATCTGCAGAGCTGGTAGGACAATCTCAGCAGATGGGTTCATTAAATGTATGAAGCTACTGTGTGATTTTCTTATACTTTTCACTAAAAAGTTGTGCTAAATCTCTTCCTCCCTCTAGGTCCCCAAGCAGTGGAAGCACACAGCCAAAAATTTGAGGTGAAAACCCTCTCTGGAAAATTGCTGTTTTCTGCAGATGACAATGAAGTCGTGGTTGGAGCAGAGAGATTGAGAGTTTTAGGTAAAAGATTATTCGCTAAACCACTGTTTTAATATGCGCCTCTTCAAATTTTAGAGTAGTTATGCCTGACTTTCCTTCATGCTTGCAGAAAGCTTCTTTTGGAGATAAAGCCTTTCACTGTCCTTATTGCGTTAACTCTTCCCCAAGCAGATAATAGCCAAGAGTTTCTATCTACTGGGTTTCTTACCTTGCACAAGATGTTATTTCCCCTCCAGAAAAAACTCCCCTGGAAGTGGTTTGTCTGGCTCAGTGAAGTAGCTTTAAAACTAGCTTTGGAAATTGAACGACTTTATCTCTTGGGTTGGGGATGAAGGACAGTGAGGGGTCACTGTGGGGATGCTTCTGTGGCTGCAGTTACTGTGTGCAGGGAAACCTCAGGCTTTTTTTGATCACACCACTTTCACCAGCTCCTCCTTCATGCTAAACACTGAGGAGGGAAACTGCAGTGAAAAAGCCAGCAAGAGTTAGGACCCCACGATAATTCTCTGAGCAGTTTGGTGGCTGTTTTATTGGTTATCTTTCCTTAGCCACATGTGAGAGCACATTGTGTCTCTCTGAGCCACCTCCAGCTGTGCTGTGGGTGGGCTGAACACCCGGTGCATTGCAGGAGAGGAGAACCTTACCTGTACCACCACTTCTGCTGCTGCCAGATCTGCCTCTCCAACTGCCCTGCATGCTCAGTTTTAGATCAGTAGTGCCTAATAAGAACTGGGGGATACACTTTGTGTCTGGGGACTGGGGGTGGTGCATTGCTTATTTTGTTGGGGTTTTTTTTAATTATTAATTTTTAATTTTCAAATGTGTTTGACATTTATATGAAATTACCTCTTAGGAACTTGAATTCTCTTGCTCTCCAGTTCGATCCATGCTCTTTGGTTAGTGTAAGATTTGCTCAGAAGTGTTGTCATGTAGGACCAGACCGGGTGACTCGATATTGCTGGCAGTTAGTCACATACCTGTGCCACTGGTCTCTGGGGATGCACTGATACCTGTTTCCTAATGGCTTCATTTGGATCCATCTGTTTGCTCCGAATTGTTCCTTACTTCTCTAGTAAGCTCCTAAACACAGAGATCGATGAAGGAGCTTAGAATGATGGGGAGTATTTTTATTTATTATTATTTACTATATACTATATAGCATGTTATTAGTATATTATGTACAATCTAAAGGAGCTTAAAATGAGGGCTTCAGAGTTTAACTATCATGAATGAGACATTATGTCCAACCATTAACACTTTTCATTACCTGATGTTGTGCTATTCTAGATGGTTCCGGTTTGTAGGCTGGCCAGGGATAGCTCTTTGCAGGTCACTGATGGCACTTACTGGACTAGTTCAGTCACCAGCTATACAAAGTTAGGTGAGTTTTATAGGATAAATGTTGAACTTCACAAAATTATCAGTATTTTCTTAGCTTAAAACTTAGAAAAGGACCATTCTTGCAGTGTTACAGAGCATTTGTCACAATCCATGTTCTACAGCAAATCTCCCTTCACACTGCACCCTTCAGAGCTAATTAATTGTGCAGTGTCTGTGCAGGGTACATGAAGTAAAGGGGCAACAGTTTTGCAGTGTTTTCTTGGAGACCTTAAAATGCAAGAGATTTATTTCACTGGTTCTTAAAAAAATACAGAAACTTTTCTTTAGACATTGCAAGTACTCCTTTTCAGATTACATACATACATAAATATTGCTTTTTATTTACTTTGTACTTTGGAGAAACCAGCAATTATTTTTTATATTTATTTTGAGTTTCTGCCTTGTTTTAGTCTCCAGAATAAACAGCATCAAAAACACAGCTAGCCACTGCAGTGCACTTTCATTTTTATCTGCAACTGGGTGTTTCTCAGGGTTTATTTGACTTATGCAGGTCTATCAGAAAAGAAAAGGTAGAATGATACCACTGGTGTGGTACCAATACTTACATGGCAAGTATTTCAATGACCTTGAGCTGGAATGCTCTCAGAGTTCATGCTTGGCTTTGTTTTTCTCCAGCTTTGCATCCTCAATCTAATTTTATCTCTACAAGTGTTTGCCGTGGCTGTTTGCCACGCTGGGAAGTGTTGTACCATATGTTCGCATTTCTTCCAGTGTTTTTGTCTGCACTTGAGGGTAGTCCAACTTGTAGTACACAGACAAATCCCTTTGATCATTTTTCTGGTGTTTGGGATCTCAGGTGCTGTTGATATGTGTCTGCTGACACCTATCTACACAATGCAAATGATACCAACTTGTTCTTGTTATTGCTGAACACGTACTTGTTACAGGAAGGAGTGTATGTCTGCAATCTGGCATGAAAGTCAGCTCGCGGAGGTTGGAGCAGCAGTTACTGGGCTTGTGGATAGCTTTTAATCTTGTTAATGATAATCGCTTTTTTTTCTTTGTATGGTCTTCAAAGTTGATTCTGGAAGTTTGTTCTACAAAGTAATGGTGAAGCCTTGTCATGAGAAAAGAGGTGTTTTCCTTTTGTGAAATGGACTCTGCTCTGGGTATCTAAAGGATTTTTCAACATTAGCAAGGCATTGAAAAGGGAAGAATACGCAGAATTATGGATGAGAAAAAGTACAAGTAGAACATGCTGCATTTGATGGTGCTTCAAAAATTGCACAGCATGGATAGTGGAGATTACCAGATGAAAGTGCTTTTTATTTTAATTGTATTTTGTGGGATTATTTCTGATTTTTAACCGTTAAGGGACACAGACAGAGTTGGTCCCCTCTGCTTTTCATGTGTGGTGTAATTTAGAGTACTCCAGTGATTTTATGTGCTTTAGGGAATCCAGTCAAGCCTGTTGTCACAGGAGAGATGGAGGATAATGGGAACTTCTGTCTGAGGACAAGGGCTGCCCTCTGAGCCCTTTGACCAGGGTCAGTAACATCTTTTCCAGACACAAGCATGAGTTCCCTCTGCCTTGCTCAGAGCCAGCCGGCAGCTCAGCAGCTGCATTGGGCTGGATGACTCAGAAGGAGCTCGTGTTTGTCTGCAAGAAGTTATGTAGAAAGTGAGCCTTATGCCAAATCTGGTCTGCCCTTTTTCTTCAGAGCTCATCTGCCAATGCCTGCAATTGCCCAGCCATCTCCTTGCAGAGGCACATCCTCACTGTCAGCACCGCTTGCTTTTACAAGCTTCACTCCTGTGGTATTTGAGCACCTCGTGGTCTTTTGAAAGATACTACGGCAAACCTCAGAGCTGATCTTATTCCTCAGAACCGTGACTCTCTATTCGGTTTTGCAAGGCTTAGATTTTGAAGGCAGAATCTGCCTCCTCTCTGCCCACACAACAGCCCCATGGTGCTGCTTGTGGGGTTGTGTGTGGGGCGAAGCCTGCAAACCTTCCCTGCTTTCACTGTTGCCATGGTCAGCAGCGCACTTTGGCAAATGCCACATAAATGCAAGCTAATGCCTCACTGGACGTCCTCTGCGGGCTCATAAACACATACGATCTGTGTTATGGGAGATGAATGAGCTGGTCCTAATTGAATTGGTATGTGGGACATCATACAGCGGTTCGCCCTTCTTCCTCCTCCCTCCCTCCAGAAACGAAACATGTTCAGACCATCTGAAAAATGGTGTGTTAAGAAATACTTTTTAGTTAAGAGTATTAAAAAATAACTTTGATATATATTAATTACCAATTTCATTTAATAGCATATTGAACATTATGGCATTTATAAACAAAATACAATCATAAAGCATTATTCTGACTGTTAATTAGCTCTATTTATTCTCCAGATTAGTTTTTAAATATGCCCTCTAGATGCCACTTGATACTAATTAACAGAGTTACATTATTATCTCTATACAAAAGCATTTTTAATTAAATCTAAAGCAATTAAAATTAGCATGAGTTTTTACAGAAATTAAACCCTGGTCAGATGCTTAATTTAGCCTTATAAGACAACATCTGATGACATGGCAGTGTCAGTTCTCCCAAGGGCCTTGACATCTTTTTTGGAGATTATTTTTTGAAGTTTGTTTTCAGGGAAACTTGCCAGTATATTCTACTGTTTAATATTTATGATGGATGTAACCAGTTGGGGTTTTTTAAAGACTAAATATTAATGGGAATCCACATGCACTGCAGTGAGCTGTGATGGAAACGCAAAAGATGCGTTCCTGCAGCTTAGAGGCTTTCACAGTCCCTCGTTGTGAGTGGTGGAGGGAGGTTGGTGTGGGAGGCAGGATTGCATGGGCTGGATGGTGTCCCATTACAAATCAACGATGCTCTTAAACCCCTCTTAAGATTACCATTTTGCTTTGCAATAAGGACAGGATTAATCATAAAACCACAATATCCCTTTTCTGTAATAGAAGAACACAGGGATTGCTTCCAAATTGCACCCGCTCTAGGTTCCTGGAAAAGGTGCCTCTCGGACATTAATACTGCCATAGCATAAGCTTTTCTTCTAATATAGCCTAATGATAAAAATCTTTCCTTCTGGCAAACCCTAACTAAACCAGCTGTATTTAGAGTGGGGTAGGATGCCTTTCATTCCCCAGTATGAAGACTGCAGGAACTTCTCTGCAGGAGACATGAAAGCCACCCACCATGCGTTGCAGCCCTCCCAGCACCATGGCTGGCTACAACCGACTTCTGATTCCTCCAACCCCTTGCATGCCCTCCCTCCCTTCAGATAATCAGCCAGTAGCTCTATTTCTACCTCACAGCTTTTTTCCGCTGCAGCATGTTCCCTCTGGGCGATGAACCATGTGGGGCAGGCACATGCTGGCCACAGGTTAGACTTCCAGAAACATTAGTTTGGGAGTGCGTTTTGTTCTCTGTCTGGGAATGCACCTGAAAAGAGGCATCAGCTGTTGAAATTTTATTGCAAATTTATTAATAATTGTAGAGTAATTAATTCCAAGGCACATTTCTAGCTTTTTATTTACAAGAGCTATCTACTATAGTCTTTAGAGGTTTTAGTCAAGGAACAGCACTAATAAAATCAACATAGCCCAAGCTTGTATTTTATAGAATATATTATTATTTTATATTATATA